TTTCCAGTACTGCTGCTGCTGCTACTACTGCTACTGCTACTGCTACTGCTACTGCTACTGCTACTGCTACTGCTACTGCAACTGCAACTGCAACTGCGACTGCGACTGCGACTGCGACTGCGACTGCGACTGCAACTACGACGACTGCGAGGACGACTACGACTACGACTGGTACTGTTTCTGTAACTGTTACTGTTTCTGCTACTGCTACTCCTCCTCCTCCAACAACTACTCCTCCTCCTCCCTTCCACCACAATCCCCAGCCCACCCAAAGCCGCTCCAGAATACTAAGGTTCTTCGTGTCCAGCGTATGCTCACAGACATGCTGAGACTTGGCCGCAGGAGCTTGAGCCCCCTAAACTCTAAACCCTGGATATCCCTAGCCCGACTGTGGAGGTTCCGAGCCCTAAACCCTAAACCCTACTTCCCCTCTGCATCTCCCTTCCCAAACTCAGACCTCGAAAGAGTGCTTCTTTTGCGAGCTTGGGGGAGGGTTTCCGATAAGGATTTTCGCATGTTTTGAGTCAGGTCCCTAAACCCTAAACCCTAAACCCTAAACCCTAAACCCTAAACCCTAAACCCTAAACCTCTGAATTCTAGGGATGGCACGTGGCAGCCACCCCGTCCGGCCGGAAATCTCCCTGTTCAAGGTCTGTGCTAGGGTCAAACCCGAAACCGTCGAGGAGTCCTAAACCCTAAACCCTAAACCCTAAACCCTAAACCCTAAACCCTAAACCCTAAACCCTAAACCCTAAACCCTAAACCCTAAACCCTAAACCCTAAACCCTAAACCCGAGGACCCTGACTACAAAAGCCATGAACCCAAAGCCCCAAAAGCCTGCAAAGGCCACAGCGAAAGCAAGAGCTACCACCCTGTGCTTCGAAAGTAGTGACACTGACCATGCTCCGAACCGAAGACGGTTTAGGGTTTAGGGTTTAGGGTTCAGGGTTCAGGGTTTAGGGTTCAGGGTTTAGGGTTTTGGTTTAGGGTTTAGGGCTTAGGGTTTAGGGTTTAGGGTTTAGGGTTTCGGGTTGGCGAGTTCGAGGTTAGGTTTCAGGGCTCAGGTTTAAGACTCTAAGACTTTGGGTTTAGGGTTTAGGCGTGCTGTTGACCCTGAACCTTCCACCAACGAAGCTTTCCCCCAGGTTTGTCTGTCCAAACTTCCGGTTCCTGCAGCAGATGCACAATCATTCCGATGCAACACTTCGGACCTACCAGTGCTCTGGCTTATGACGATTCAGGGTTTCATAAGAGTGGGTCTTTTCAGGGTTCTGCAAGTAAGGTGTAAAAGAGCTTAGGCGTTTATTCAGGGTCTGGCGGCTAGCGCTTAGGGTCGAGAGAAGGTTCAGGAACCCAATACCCCTTACTTAAGGAATATACCTTAAATCATAATATTAGGCCCCTATAATTTAAGGTATATTCCTCAATTAAGGGGTATTGGGTTCTCTGAAGGTTCAGGCACCCTGAACAAGAAGGAGCTTCAAGGCTTGATATTTCGGAAGTTTCCAGACAGCCGGATCCTGACATAAACCTCAAAACAGCAGCCCGCACAACCCTAAACCCTAAACCCGAAACCCTGAACCCTAAACCATGCTTTGCACTCTGCCACCTTTCCCTTGAAGTCAGATGAGGACCTCGCTAAGCCCGATTCAACCCTACCTGGACCCTTTTAAAGAACCTACACTTTTAGGGCTCCTTATTATGATTTCGTAATATAAGTCCTACTAAAAAGGGTTCCTTTATTATAACTTCTTTATGTAAGTCCTTAAAAGGGTAGGTTATGTGGGGTTAAGGTAAACCCTACGCCACACATGTCCGTTGACTGTAGAGGATGATTCCGGCAATTCGAGCAGCACGACGGTAGGCCACCCACTGGTGCACCCGGGTTGATTTCACATTGCGTGCTAGCTTCACACCACAGTAAGAAGAGTTCCCAAGACCATGTACAGCTGTTTAACATGACCCGCAGACAGCTAAACCCAACACAACCCGAGACCATGTGCTCCAAACGCAAGCCCAAAAATCCTGAAGCCCTCAACCTTACGACCAACAACGCCCCCCAAACGCTGAACCCTAGACCCCTGAACCCCTAGACCCTAAACCCGAAACCCTAGACCCTAAACCCTAAACCCGAAACCCTAAACCCTAAACCCTAAACCCTAAACCCTAAAACCTTAACCGAAACCCCCGAAGTCCCCCCCCCCCCCCCCGTTTGCCGCTGATGACGAAGTTCCTGCTTGGCTTCGCCGGCAGTGGTTGGGGGGTTTAGGGTTCAGGGGCTTAGGGTCGAGGTCGAGTGTTTGGGGGTTAGGGTTCAGGGGTTTGAGGTTTAGGGGTTCGGGTTTAGGGTTTAGGGTTTAGAGGTTTAGGGTCCCTAAACCCTAAACCCTAAACCCTAAACCCTAAACCCTAAACCCTAAACCCTAAACCCTAAAGTGTTTAGGGGTTAGGGTTTAGGGTTTATTTAGGAGTCTGGCGGTTTGGGGTTTGTGGGAATCCTCGCTGAGGAAGAGACGGCTGAAGGCTGCGCAGCTCGAGCCGAGAAGACCCAGCATGAAGCACCACCCCTAAACCCTAAGCCCTAAACCCTAAACCCTAATCCCTAAACCCTAAGCCCTAAACCCTAAACCCTAAACCCTAAACCCTGAACCCTAAAGCCTAAATCCTAAACCCTAAACTTCTGGAGATGTCCCTTCAGCCTTGAGCATCAGAGACCTGACCCTTAAAGGGAGCCTTGGGGTTTTTAGGGGCTTTATGAGACTACACAAGGGTTATATGGGGTATCCTTCTAGGGGTCCCTCATTTCCTTCTTAGCCTGTAAACTTTTTGGGTTCTTATATTTAAGTAAAGTTCAGCCTTTTATTTCCCTGGCTTATTGGGGAAGTAAGAATTAGAGACACATCTTTGACACAGAACGAGACCTCCCATAGTCTCAAACAGCAGGTTCCTGAGTCAAACCTGAATGGAAGCCTCAGGGCCCGGGGTTTAATGCTCTAAGCCGTCTAAACCCTATACACCCTAAACCCTCTAAACCCTACACCCTTTCAGCCCTAAACCCTTTAAGCCCTCTAAGCCCTAAACCCTCTAAGCCCTATAAACCCTAAACCCTCTAAACCCTAAGCCGTAAACCCTAAACCCTAAACCCTCCAAGCCCTGAGCTGTAAACCCTAAACCCGAAGCCCTCAAAGCCCTAAACCCTCTAAGCCCTAAAACCTCTAAGCCCTAAACCTTCTAAGCCCTAAGCCGTAAACCGTAAACCCTCTAAGCCCTTAGCCGTAAACCCTAAACCCGAAACCCTCCAAGCCCTAAACCCTAAACCGCCTAGGCCCTGTAAACCCTAAACCCTCTAAGCCCTAAGTCCTAAACCCTAAACCCCAAACCCTCTAAGCCATAAGCCCTAAACCCTAAACCCGCTAATCCCTATAATCCCTCTAACCCTAAACCCCCTAAGCCCTAAGCCCTAAACCCTAAAACCGTCTAAACCCTAAACCCTAAACCCCAAACCCTTTAAGCCCTAAACATTCAAATCCTGTGCAGTGCCAGGTTGCCGCCCTTGAGATCCCTGTTGGGCGCCTTCCACTTCTCGGAGCTTTTCTTCGTGATGGGCGACAAGGACCGGCCCAGGGAGCCATATACCTTCAAGGGTTCCTTTAAGGGTTCCTTTAAGGGTTCCTTTAAGGGTTTGGGGTTTAGGGTTAAGGGTTTAGGGTTTAGGGTTTAGGGTTTAGGGTTTAGGATTTAGGGTTTAGGGTTTAGGGTTTTTCCGGGTTCCTTAAAGGGTTCCTGAGAGGGTTCCACAAAGGGTTCCTGAAAGGGTTCCTTAAAGGGTTTAGATAAGGGGATTAAGGAACATAGCTTAAGTTAAAGGGGCGTTAATGGTATGGTTATTTCCTTATCGAAGGGGAAGGAACGTTAAGGGTGCCACAAGGGTTTTTACAAGGGTTCCTTCAAATAAGTAAAGGCGTTATGGGGCGTTTCTGAGGGTGTCTATAAGAATGCCAGAAATGGGAATAAGCCCTAAACCTCTTAACCCTAAGCCCTAAACCCTAAACCTCTTCACCCCTTAAGCCCTGAACCCCTTAACCCTAAACCCTAAGCTTCAGGATTCGACTTTTGCTGGGGTTGTGCCGGGTTCTGTAATCGGGGCTCCAGGTTTAGGTGTTTGAGTGCTTGAAGTATTGGGGTTTAGGGTTTAGGGGTTGAAAGTTGAGAGTTTGGAGGTTCAGGGCTTAGAGTTTAGGGGTTTAGGGGTTCAAGGTTCGTTAAGTCTTTGGGTTGAGAGTTGAGAGTTTGGAGGGTCAGGGCTTTGGGTTCAGGGGTTCGAGGTTTAGTGCGTTTAGTTTGGGGGGTTGTGGACTTTGTGTTGCAGGGCGCTAGAAATCAGGAAGCCCACTTTTGCAAGTACATGACCCAAGAAAACGAAGCTAGAACCCTGAAAGGGTACGTTCAGCGCGGTTGCTTCTTGAATGTCCATAGACCATAAATTCCCAAACTTCCCAATCGCCAAGCTCCGAGGGGGAAGCGCTCAACCCTAAACCCTAAACCCTAAACCCTAAACCCTGAACCCTGAACCCTAAGCCCCTTAACCCTAAACCCTAAACCCTAAACCCTAGACCCTAAACCCTAAACCCAGCACCCTACACCCTAAACCCTCAAGCATCCGTCTTGGATCGCTGGAATGTGCAGGAAGGTCAGTGGGGTTTCGGGTTCTGTCGGAGTTCTAGAAGGTTCCTTCAGCGGCTTACGGTTTAGGGTTTAGGGTTTAGGATGTATAAGTGATCTATATAAGTGATCTATCAGGGTTGGGGTCTGTCGAGCTTCTGGTGTAGACTTTGAGGTTTCGCGCTTTGCGGTTTAGGGTGTTAGGGCCCAAAGTTCTTTAGGTGTATTGTGTAGGGCCCAACAGTCAACATGAAAAGTGTTGGGATGTAGGGTTCGGGTTTCGGGGCTTTCGGGTAGTAGTCTGTCGTTGAGTACCTCTTAGAGTCTTGGATTTTAGAAGAGAGTTGCTTGTGCTCCTGGATCTGTGACTTTAGCGAAGACTTCAAGGCCTAAACTGTCAGTTTCACACATGGGACCCGCAAAACCTGAATTCTTGCCCCATGGGATGCGTATTTTGTTGAGTGCCACTCTCTCCGCTAGATTACTGCTGCTACTACTACCACTACTACTGCCAACACCACCACTACCGCGACTACAGCAGCACTGCTGCTGCTGCTGCTACTACTACTACTACTGCTGCTACTACTACTACTACTACTACTACTACTACTACTAACTAGTACTACTAGTACTACTAGTACTACTACTACTACTACTACTACTACTACTACTACC